TACTTGAATATTCAAAGCAACGTTTCTACTGGTTTCGTGCCAAAAATACGCATGATCAAATCCTCGTACGATCTGCAACGATGAGGATGCTTTTTGGTCGTTTATATGGACGTGTCGTTTAAAGCGGAAAACCGGCTTAAGTGTCGCGGCGTTCCACGGTACGAGATAAAGGGAACGCGTACGTGTTTTGCACGTACAGTGTGGGCACGACGAGTAATCGCGTCTCCTTGCCACCCCATCTCCCTTTTCTCTTTACGGTTCGCGCATCTAGTCCCCTCGTCTCTCCCTTTCTTTTTGCCCTTTGCACTACGAACAGCTGCAATGTCACGCGTAATCAGCATGGTTACTGGCATCGTGTAAATATTTGCGCATATGCTTTCAGTCGGAACAAACTTTAACTGTTGTAAATATGCTGTTTGGAGAGTTCGTTTACTTTGTCCAAGAGATCGAGTTCGTAAAAATATTTTACGCCTTTTTCTTCTCTATTATATATTACGCGATACCGAGTTACATATTTTTGGATTTATAAACTAACTAATAATAAATTGCTCGGTCTTAAAATAAAAATTTTTATTTTCATGATTTTTACAAGGCAATCAAACGATAGATTCGACGATCGGGTTCTTTCGCACAAAAATATTTTCCTTCTTTGTTCTGTAAACCACTCTAATATCGCATAAACATTTGCTTGCCCAGTTTACACCGCAATTATCCAAACGACTTTATTCTAAGCAGGCCATAACGTGCCGATATCAATTTTAGTAGAGAAAATACATATATTTATCACTCGCTTTGTTGATTGATTTGGAAAGTACAGTGTCGCGTCTAGCATAGTATGGATGGAATATCTTACAGTAGAACATCTGATACACTCGATAATACTAACTCTTCTATTCTTCTTCTTCGTTTTCATCGATTAATCACTATCCTCCACTCTCAAAAAGAAAACACTACGTATTCTTAGGTTCACCGTTGTTTATTTATCGCTCGTTCTACGCAACACAAAAACATCTCTACACCAGCGTTACACGATACACAAACAAAATGTAAAGAAGTAAAAAGAAGCGAAAAGAAAAGAAAGAGAAAAAGTAAGAGTCGTAAAAATCAACCTAGTTGTCCGATCTCTTTCCATTACGTAGAACCGCGATAACAACTGTCGAGACTGCAGAGACTGCAAAAGAACGTAATCGGTTACGTATCGTCTACGTAATAATAAAAAGACAGACGTGTTTGGCCAGGAGAACTAGCGCTTTTGGTTGACCGTGGCAGCAGACAAGAAGCAAAAACAAGCCCTAACGAACGTCCGAGGGCATCCCTAACTTTGACCGCAACAGCGCCGTTCCGGATGAACTTTGTCTGTTACGTGAGCGGAGAGCTTACCTTAGTTTTCTTGTCTGTCGCGTGTATAGCGCAAACCTGGATCCCTGTTATCAAGATTCTCCCATTTCACCGTTGGTTTTACTGGAAGATGCTCTGGAGGCCGCGAGAGAGGAGAAGAGATGAAAGGGGTCAGAGAAACAGCGCGGAGGATATTACGATTTTCCCGAGGGACGAGTAACACGTAATGGAGCACGAGGGATGAACACGCGCGTCGAACGATTTTCCTAATAAATTGAATATGCCGACAAATTAATTGGCGGTATCGTCGTTTGAAATTTGTCACGTGCACGCGTCTGCGACAAGGATTCGTAAAACTTGCGCTAATTGTTAGCTCATAGAGGTGTAATTCGACGCTGCGGATGTGAAGACTTACGTTTGGATTAGATTTGGATGGGAAGCGGAAAAGCAGACGTGGCAAACCAACGGTATATTCTACGGGAATATTCGTGTCTTGTCTCTCTTTTTAATAATTGTAAATTGCATTTACGTTATTGGAAAGAAGTTTGAAAATGTACTTAAAAATATCGTATGTGTAAGAAGAACGTGATTAATTCCGAGAGTTTATTTAGTTTCACTGATATTATCCACGTTCAATTGTTAACTATGTTTGGGATAGGAAACCTGATTATAATCGACAAATATACGCGCGAGCGCGCTACTCGTATCACGCATAATTACCCATTCATTTGTGTTTCGCTGGGGATTGTTTGCTAACAACTGGTAGCATTCATGGGATCAGACGAATCTAAGGGAAAATTCGGCACGCGCAGAATTGAACTGGTTCGTGTTAAATCTATATGACTTTAAATTCACATTTCGCAACTGCAGTTATAACCATCGATCGTAGAACGGTTTGAATATAATGTGATAATTTGAACAACTAACGCTTAACACAGTTATTCACATGTGCGTTCTAAAGTATTGGTTAGACGGTTTAGTCGATTTGTAGTAACAATACGTAAAATTGCTCGGATAATTAGCACCAGTGCTTCCTAACTTTTTATGCAATCAGCATACCATGAATTTAAGGTATTTGTTAAATGACATAGCAACGAAATACATTATTATTTGCGTTTACTATATACTTAATTAGCACTGTTTGCATCAACGTCGGAAATGTTCCATTCATTTAGAAGAATTAACAAAATAATTTTACAGAGTTTTGTTATTACTTGTTTGCTCCTAATGACCAATTTAATCGCGTCGTAACATTTTATCGTACTGCACGTACGTACGATGATCGCGAAGAATAAATTCATTGGTTAGATTTATCCGTAACATTTTTATCAAAACATATATCTTATCAAAAATAAACAAGTATCTTGCAAATAATTTCGAATACTCTCGTACCTACTACTTAACACACAGTTAATTAACAAATAAATCGTCTTGTCGGTGTTTTAGCACCGTGTTGTGCATAGTTTACAAAGCATTTCTATTCAGCGTCTGTAACATTAAAACACCAACTTTTTCTGCCTTTCGACGAACAAACGCGTTCTACTTTGCAGTTGGGCATCGACGGCCTCCGGTGAAAACACTGGGATCTCCTACACATTAAAAGGAGCGTGCTGACTAAAAGGATTCCGCGGAAGTTGCTTGGAAGGAGGCGAACGTTTCGCCTCGACTGAAAAATGCATTCGCCATTCCGTTTGCACACGTAGAAAGGACACATTGTGTTTACGACTTTCCGTCTTGGATTCTATTGCATTTCCGCGCTGTGTTCGACTGCGAGAAGGCAGCTGCAGTTCACGCTGCATTCTGCCGTGAAAATTTCAGATGGTCTGCTCGGCCATGTCGCGATTCGCATTTACAACCGAGCATTGCGCAACGGCTCTCCCTTAAAAACCGACTTACCCTTAGAAAGTGTCTCGCGAGTAAAACACAGAGGCGAAGCAGCCGGATTTCGGGAAAGAAAGCACTCGTTGAACATCTCGTTGTTCCTGACTGTTCGCCACTTTGCGGACTCTCGTCTTTGCGAATAAATAAATACGCCGTTTCCGTGGCGAACAGTCCGCGTGACTTTACTTGCAGATGTTTACCCCTTATTAAGGATTCCGCAACGCGCCGTGCCGGCTTCGTTTACTTCGTACACCATCCTCGGTTGAAGCGAGAGCCAGTTTTCTTTTTCCCCGCACGCGGACGGAGTAAATATGAAGCTTCCTTTAATGCCCGGGCAAACGAAGCTTTAATGACGTTCAGCGGATGTTAAAGGGAATCTTAAATATTTGAATATCTTAAGAACACTTGCCATCTCTGGCTCAAACTCTAATTTTTGAAGCTTTTTAGAAACTTCCCAGTTCTCCTCGCCGAGGCTACCTTTACAATTTATCCAAGTGCTTTGGTAAACCGTTTAAGAGGTAACCGGTAGGTCGAGGGCTCGTTTGTCAAGCGTTTTGCGACGATTAAAAACGTATATTTTTAAAAAATCACAATTACTACACTTTTATATATTTAGATTTTAGAAAATTCGTACTTTCATCGATACTCGGTGTGTATTATGCTGGCATTGATGGAACTGTGAAACTATTATTTCGAGTGTGTCGACTCTTGTTTGGAATTGGAAAAAAGAATCTCGCGAATTAATAAGCTCATTTTGAAAATGTTAACTTGAACTTTCCAAACGTATAAACACTTCGAACTTTGCAAACAAGTTAATAAGTTTGTTTCTTTTAGCAAGAATTGTTAATCGACTGAATGTTATATCAATGGAGAAGTTTGAAGAAACTCTTTCAGCTGCTGATGCATCGAGTAATACCCGCAGGACTAACTTTGCGTAAGGAAATTTGGTTAGCGAGTTTCCTATACTCGATGTTTATTAAATGTCGTACCTGAACCATTTCCAAGTTACAATATTATTATATATTATATTAAGTAACCAGCAACTAATAACGAAATTATTAACAGTACTTGTGTTTAAAATTACTGCAGCTAACTCGTCGCCGCTACCATTAGCTCATTTGCTTCTCTGCATGTGGTCGCGTGAAAAAGTTGATGGTACCGGATAGTAAATCAACGCCCGAAATATTTCAGTCTTCCTGCATTACCATCCCAACCTTCCTAGCCATCGTGACACAAAGAAAATGTAGGTTCGCTATGCGGAACGTTGCCAAAAACTGAATTCGGTGGTTGCAGCTCGGTTAAATGGGCTTATGACACGTCAGTCTCTATTGGGGACAAGGAGAAAAACTAGTAGAAACGGTGTACGTAGCTCGGAATATAAATATTTTCATCGTAACGTCGAGTTTCGAACGTTCCATCAAGTTTTTAATCATATGTGTAGTATCTAAATAGTCTAGAGTAAGGACGAGAAAAGATGTTCTATTTGAAGCGAAGTTTAGTTTTATTTTAACAAGCAATATCCAATGCAAAAACTGACTACGATGTCTTCGTACCTCTTATTTTAACACTCGGCTCACAACTTCTGTCTTCCCAGGTGAAAAAAATGCTGACCCTCGACCCTCGCACCCTTCTCTCACTCCTTTACTCATTTAGCTTTGACGTCACCAAGGCATACACTCTTACTTACACTCTCTCTCTCTCTTTTTCTCTTCCCCAGCGCTCTTACGATTTTTAGTTTATACCTTAAATTTACAACTTATACTATCCCGAGAAAACTCGAACTTAAATATATGATAGACCAAGCGTATATGCCCCTTTTTCTGATATTACATATGTTATACTTAAATAATTATAGCCATATATCTCAGCAATGTTTGAATGAGGATATATGTAGAAGATTCTAGCTTATAGAAATTTATAACGTTATTTCGTGGACGAAGAGGTGAGCGCTTCTGGTTAAAAGCTGAAATCATCGAAGTGCTTTGGAGTTTGCGTAAATTACTCCAGACGTAGATTTTTATCTTTTATTAATTTCCTGATCGAAGAAGTTACATACATGTAGCAAATTTATAGCAGCTAAAAATTGAGAAAATCTTAATGTTGGAAAGATCGTTTACTTTGTTAAAGACTAATAAATCTATCAAAAAGATCGTTATAAATTCACAAAGTCGCTACAGTAAGCTATGAATTTGTCAATTTGTTCGTTCTAGTAGTTCTAGCGTTACTCTCAGTGAACACGATTCCTGCTGTCAACTTTCAAAAACAGACATTCCGATCTGACAATAAAATTCTCAAAAAGGGAAGAAGGGAACAGAATAAAACCATCTTAACCGAATAAATCCTCTTTTAAGTTTCGCAACATCTTGTTAAGTGGAGACTGATAAAGCGGAAGAGAGCGCTAGCATTGCATCAGCCTCGTGAAGCACAGTCTCTGTCAATGTAAAAAGTACAACGCGAGAATTATCCGCGTCAGAAATCGCCTCTAATTTCACGTGTACTTCTCTTTAGCTATCGACGTTGGTTCCATAAATAGGGTTAAGCCACGCCTCTTTGCCGACGTTTCTATAAGGCCTTACCTCACGTTCTACGAAGCACGGTGAAGCGCTTTTACTCTTTAACTCGCGTTTTTACGAGGACCCGAACGTAATGGGCTTCGTAGCGTGTCTTTTTCTCGGCCTCACGGAAGTCCGATACGATGCGATGTCGCGATAGAAAATCGTCGATTCTTTCTCTTTTTTCATCGTTCTTTAAGCTGAACAAGAGCCAACCGCTTCCTTTTCTTTATTTTTCATCTTTTCTCCTCTGTTTCTTTTTCTTCCTTCGCTTTTTCTGCACCATCTCATCCTTTAACAATATCCGCAAGTTCTTGATCGAAGATGTGACCCGAGCCGAAGGTAATGTGTCCTTTAAATATGAAGTTTCGTTAAAGAAACAGCGTAGAGGATGCATGTTACAAGCTTCGTATGAGCTCGATTATAATCTCCTTTCTTGCGCTGTTACCTTCTCGTTTTTATTTACCGTATCTACCGATACGTGACAGATATATCGAACGGTCGAAGACTGTGTACGAAATTAGAAGAGTATCTTCATAAAAAAAAATTCGTAAGACGAAATAGATAATTGAATAAATTGCATTGCAAGTTTCGATTCGAGTTTTTTTTGACCAGAAAATACTCTTGACAAATATACATGTATCTATCTTAGACTTATAGGTGTTTTTTTCAGAAACCTTCTCCTTCAACCTTCGTGGGCTTCTTTGGTTTTTCTTCAAGAATTTATTTTCTCAATTAGACGAGTGTTAGAGAATAGCTGGAAGGTTACTTTCAAGGCTACTCTCCGTTAAATATTTTATAATGTCCCATACCACTATTATTCTCGCGTCTCACCGTACGTAATTCGAAGTAATTCGGCAATATCAATCTTTGACGGCATTGCAAGGTATTTGATCGATGTTAATTATTCAGTCGCTTTAGCTTCATACTCATTACCCGATATTCTCTCATATTTTCGATAAATCAAATCCTTCTGATTACATAATATGTATCCTTTCTGATTATATAATCGTATGTTTCTTAATGGATTCCATTGGAACTTATTCGACCGCAGTAAAGTACCATGTGTTTATGTACTTAAGAAACCTTAACAAGTAACTGACGAACGCAAACACGGAATACATGTTCGATTAATCGGCTTTGACGAGTGGTTCGCCTTCGCAGGCAAATATTTGACGCGTGCTAGACTAATAGCGCGCTTGCGAACACTTACAGGTTATAACGCGTGGTGCCAATATTGTCCGGTCAAACAGCAAAATATTCTGTAACATTTATTCAGCAACATCGACGAATGGTACATATCGACGAATAGTCGTCCCCTTTCGCGTCGATCATATTTATGACGGCGATCTGTTCGAAAATTCGCGTGTGGGCGAGTCGTGTATTTGACTGCGACCGGTAATAATGCACGATAAGCTAATATTGCATCGTCAAATAATAAAATATCCCAGGTTGGTTTGCATAATGCGGTTTCACCGGTGATCGCGATTTCGATCGATGCGAGTCGATGCATGCAGACAATGCCACATCTATCACCATATATTGTTTGAAGGGAAGTTTATAACGCGTAGGTGATTTTTCTGCTATTTTAGGTTTTAGATTTTCCATTGGTATTTTCACCATATCTCGTTTTAGTTTCGTTCGTTTATAGCCAGGAAAACTTGTCATTTTTTTTTTATTTAACGTAAAGTTCTGAACTTTTTCCTGTACCTTAATACTAATTTACTCATCGCAAACTCGCGAACTTTCCAGGCCTGTACTAGCGTTTGGTCTTTTCCGTGAGTGACGTGTACGTTACTCCAATATCCTGGAACCAGTAATTATTAGTCGTGGTCGTTGCCATTGTTCAAGAATTCAATTGATTCTTCGTTGATTAGAACTCGATCATCTACCAGGAATAGGATTTTTGCGTATTATACCTTTGTGAAAGAAGAACGAGCGTATAGATTGGAGATTTTTCACATTTCGTTACAATTCGTTTAATTAACACGTAGCACATATCAAACCACCGTGGTAATAACGTCGCATAATCTCGAGTCGCATTCATAGATCGATTAGTTCACGTTGTTATTTTAAAAGTTGCCAATACCGAGTTGCTTGTACGAGGTTCCGCGACGTATTCATCGAGTTCTCCGGGTGTTGATACGATTTTCATATATCGTTCAGAAAGCAAGTGGCGTTTTATCAAACGCCGCATCGTCCCGACACATTCAACCAGACACGTACACACGTCATTTTCTTTCCTCTGTGTCTGCGCATCGCACTCATCCCTTTGTTTAGCTGATTTATGGAGCGACGCGACTGTTGCAGAGACCGAGCTCGCGGTGAAAGTATTAGATGTCGGATCTACGAAATGATTCGATGAAATCTCAATTCGCGGCGAAATCTCTCTCTCTCTCTTTCTCTCGCTTCCTGATATTGCGTACCGATCGAACGTCGAACGAAACGATCGAGAAACTGTACGCGAAGTCTCAGAAGACAGGCAATTTATTTCGAGAACATAACAATAAGAATATCGCGAATCAAAATATAGCTTTTGAACTGCGTTTCAGGGACAATCGTTCGATGAATTCTTCGGTATTTTCCTTGGAAATTTCATCAGGATTTATGGATGTTGACAGGCGGAAGAACTGAGACGATTAGGGAGTTACAATTACAAGGGTTTTATGTAACTTTCGCATTTGTTCCTCCTTGGTCACGTAATAAGGAAATTTAGTGTTTCACAACGTATTAGTTCTGGATTTGATGGAATGAGAATGCTACCAGTATCCATAGATACTCAACGTTCTACAAACATATTGTCTATAATTATCCTTAAAATGATCAGCGATCCGAGTAACTACAAAAATGTTTGAAACGCAATCACTCTAACGTCGTTGATTTCGTTTAAAAGCTGGGCAGAATACGCGATTGAATTTCGAAATTAATTGTACGTCGAACCTAAAACACGCGATAACCGGAGAATGTGGAATTAAAAAAAAAGAAGGAACTAAAAAGATAAAAAAAAAGAAAAAAAAGCGATGAAATCCGCTCGTTCCTTCGTCGATCAAAATCGATCAAAATCAACGATGGTACGGTTCAGATATTCGTGCGTGGCATTTCATCGAAACTTGATAAATTGCCAGTCGTTAGCCGCGGCAAGATCGTTATCCCGACAGATATTATATGGAGCGAGACTTGGTGAAAATCGAGTACATGGCCTGCTCGACCAAAGTGGTATTTATAACCTTCCGCCAGGGTACTTTTCTATGTATGTACGCTTGCATCGAGCACGGTTATTGGGAATCAACCACCCTCCGGTGGATTTTTCTCCGTCTAAGCGTCGTGCTAGATTACGAATTCGTTAGCCGTTGCTATAGGGCGCGTTCACGTGAAGGCCATTTAGCAGGGAATTTTCCTCCTTACGTTCGAAGCAGCAATTTAGGACATCAGAAGCTTTCTCGTTATCGATTATTTATTTATCAATGTTCCATTCATCGACATATATTTTAGATCATATATATATTTCATAAAAATGTTGAATTAATTTAACCACTTATTGACTAGAAAAACTTCAAATGTCCAAAGGTTATGAAAAAACGAGATTGAAAATTTTAGTTTCTTTGAAAAATATTTTTTAACTTTCAATTATTTATAACGAATAATTCAGTACTCTTGCAATTTAGTACTATATTATTATCCGACGATATTATGGTTTTATTCTTCTAACGTAATAAACATGATGGACTTCTTCTCACGTATGCGAGTGAACGACAGACGGATAAGCGATCGAATTATTCTCGGTGCGATCCAATCTAACAACCTTCTTATACGTTCTTTTTATCTAATGTTTTTGCGTTTATCGATAATAAGCGTGAGATTATTTCCCTCTAACGTAAACTATCGCGCTCATCCTACAAAGCAAGTTTTTGAAATGAAATGCATGGAAAATGGACAAACAAGCTAATAAGAATTGAAGTTCGGAGTAGCTGTGTAAACTGCTAACTACACAGCAAACGCTGTCGATAGTCGGAGAGAGTATTTAGTGGTTATCGATTTGATTATTATTACTTATTTTTCGTTCTTCGTATTAATTATGCGAACATTCCTCGAGTCTTTTCTTTCGCAAATATAAAAGTATAGTTTTGCAGAGTTTTTAATTAACCACCTGTACTTCTTTTCAAATATACACAGCATATCTGTTGATTCGATGAAAACCGAATAAAAACTGAATCGATAATAATGTCTCTGAGCTTTAATAACTTTCAATCGCGAATTCTATTTATATTTTAATAAATAAATGAAGCGATATTGAAGTTTATTTAATCATATTAAAGAAACGAAACGCTTACTCGTTTACGGTTCACGAATCACGATACGATGTTCCCAGTACCATCCTGTAACCTACTTCGAGTTCTGCTTTGTAACTTTGTTCAAATTCTACTCGAACCGGCGCTATTGAAATGTGATTCTGGTAGAGGAGAATTAATGGTGTAAAAGAAAAGGAAATGCGAGAATCGGCAGTTCAGAAACGACGTTTGCGTTTATTTCACCTTACGTCTGCTAATATTTGGTTAGACAACGATATCACATTGAATGACTAATAGTACTCGTACTTTTGTATCATTGTCTTAAAATAACCACGTTACTGTAATAAATTACGATGCGGAGAACACCAAGCTGCGTTAAGGGAGAGATTAAAAGAGACTGCACGATATACACCACTCATAAATTTCGCCGACCAGTCATTGTACGTTGGAGCTGTGTAATTTATCGCCTGCACCGTCAAACTTTTCTCGATGCTTGCATTCTTCCAGAAATGCTAACTGATCGTCGCTTTCGTGGACCATTTCGTTCTTTGCAATTTTTTACTCTTTGTTTAACTCGAACTTTAGAAACAGCATAATTTTATATTTGATTTACAATGATCAAAATGCTCCTTAATCGCGAATTTACATTTCTGACGCGATAAAAACTGTTAAATATAACTTGATTAAAAATTTAATCAAGTTCTTATTCGCAGATCTACCTTTACATAACATTGTTCTTACTTCCAAATTATGTTTGTTTATGAAACGTAGTAAATTTCACTCTGGAACATTACGCGTCAAATTTTACGAGAATTTTAGAAACAGTAATATTTAGTTTATCCTATCCAGTTGGATTAATCGTTTGGCTTCTGAAAGATTAAAAACTGATGCTGATTAAGAAACTTCTCAGAAATAGTTTAGCTATTGAGTGGTTCATTGTAATTAAATATCACCTCGATTGACCTAGATTGATAGTTTTCCTTCACAATTATCCATTGTACCGTGCTTTAAACTACTCTGCATTGGTCTCGCATAGATGAACCCTAACTGACTAAACCTACTTGTAGAATTACTTTCGACAAACGAATTAAATAAATAAGGCTTACACTAGACAAATAAATACCTACGCTATAGACCTATTATTCCTGCTACTATCATTAATTTCACAATCCTACAATAATACCCTGCACAATCGTTGTAACCAATATTTAGCCGTGTTTTAAAACGAGTCAAATTAAATCCACAAGTCGTTTAATCGATCAACAGCGTCGTTTCATTACAGTACAGACAACAGTCAGAAAGAGGATACGACCACAGGCCCCTGTTGCACTTTGCGAGCCAGTTACCGGTCAGCCTTCGATATTCGTATTTTCCATCAAAGGGTTGGCACTCGTCGATCTAATTAGCGGATTAAATCCGGCTGCAAACGGCGGCAATTCGCGCGGTTCGAAAATTCACGCTGTCCCAGTGATTTTTGATTACGCACCGGCGCCGCGCGATAACGTGCGGCCGCGCGTTCAACCGAGGTCGCGGGTGAAATCGTTCGAAAGAATTTATTTCGCGCGGCCGGCCGTGCGTTCCACGTTCATTCCGGCTATCGCGGCGGCGCGATAATCGTGGCCCTGTAATAACAATCGCCACGCCACCATACCACCCCTTCTCCCCCGTAACGACATTTTCGGTTATTCGTTGAATTTCCAACATCGCCAGCTGCACCGCTCGCTATCTCATCTTCCCGTGGACCGCGAGCTTGCATGTACACTGTTGTACACGAGCGAGGATGCGTCAATGCTGCTGTAAATACCAGCACGGACAGCCTGGAAACCAGTTAACCCAAAAAATTCTATTTCTCCCTTTCGAGGGCTGCGGAGAAACAATTATTAACATTTTTGACATATTTACACGGCAACGTTGTTCCGCCCTAGTATTATTTGAGTTGACGATAGCTGCGTGTGTATACGTTGCGCGTACACGTGTATAGTATACACTTTCGTTCATAAGTAACGAGACACCTGATTTCATAGGAAACACGATAATTAAACTTATACAGGGAGACAACGATCTGCAGTGAGATCCGTTATAACGAGACGTGCACGCGTACCGACCGAAAATTCAAAGTCGATTTTCTCGAAAACAAAGCCTCGAACGAAAAATGTTTATTCTATATTTTCGACTTCTTTTTTCGCGTAGAATCACCCCCTTTCCGCTTATAGCACCAGTTACCAACCACCCTGTATAATATATGAAGGGAACGAACAATCGATCGAGATTTTGTATTCGGGCAGGACTGAGATACGTGAAAAATAAGAATTGGTTAAAGCTGTTCGAGAAGATTACGGTACGTAAATTATGGTAATTATGGGGATAACATTTAACATCATTTACAGTGGCTAATCTTATAATAACATGATATTCGTATAATACTGAAACTAAAGATGATCTATAGGACTACATTGCTTGTATACGTTTGTGTACGATACACGAACGCGTTCATTTATTCATATGAGTGTCCAAATCGACTGTCTCGCTTCATCTTATATCAATACAAAGATCTAGCAAAAATTAAATTATTTATATCATAAATATACGAAAGTTTTCTTCAGAGAGGGATAAATGTACATTTCAATTTCTAACATTCACATCGATTTACCCGAAACTCGTAAAAAATAATCATCAAAATAGTCGTCATTCGCGTTCAGACATTGCCGAAGATTATGTACCTTCCATATCATCCTCGAAACGATGCACGCTAATTGGCAACGGCAAAATGAAGAGGAAAAACGACCGAGAAATCGGAGAAACTGGTGCACGAGGAATCAGTCTAGCAACACGCCTAATTTAGGGGCGACGGCTCGTCTCCAGTTTGGGTATTGTCACGAACCAGAGGTCCGCGAAGGAAGCGAGAACGAAGCAACGAAGAGAGCAACACACGAATTGGTTTCGCCGCTTCATTTTTCACGCCGACCTGGCCTGGGAAAATAAACCGTCGCGTCGCAGCGCAGCCCGGCCGAATGTCATTCACAATGCGTCCCGGCCTCCACAATGCTCGCCATTTTGGCAAGTCACCCATTTCAATCAACCGAGCGGGCGATGAATGCTTCTAGCTGTCACGTTATCGCGCGCCGATCTTCGAAACAAGCATTTGACCGTGCCTCGGTAGAACTTGCTGGAAGAAAGAAGATAACAAACGAAAATTTGAACAACCATGGCGACGATGACATCGATTAAGAGAAAACGAAATAGAGAAAGTGACAAAGAATCGTAAGTGAATGCCGGAAGGTCGCGTTAAGCGTAAAGAGATGAGAAAGTGACTAGCGAGAAAACACGGGACCAGAGGAAGTACGTAGATAGCGCTGTCTATCGTTCATCGTCACGCATTGCTCCATTGTCTTCTTTGAATATGACACACTTTTCGCCAATACGCATGCGTATCTTTGTATTTGTATCGGGTCTATTAGAAATAATCAATCAGATTCGCATTCATTTGCCTAGCCATCTTCTGGTCTCTGCATATACATATGTACGTCGCAAACAGCTTCGAACTTTGACCGATTACGTTCAAATTTTCTATATTCTACGAGTATCGTTCCATCAGTACTATCATCTTTTATTTTGCATTTTAAATTTCTACAGTAACATCGAACGGTTATTTCGCCGAATGTTATAATCGGTAATTAAAAGAATCATATACATTACGAGTAGATTTTTGTTACGTACCG